GCGCTGAAGCAAACTCTGCCTTTCCGCGCTCCCGCACGCAGTATCTATAGTAGCGTAAACTTACACGACGCAACGAGTTGAAACTCGTGTACAGTCTGACCAAACATTTTGGTGTATAGTGTCAATGTATTTTGGATATAATGTCTCAAGTTTGAAGAAAAAATTATGGGTAAGTCTTTTGGAATTTCATAACACATATAATAGAGAGTATATTTTGAATTTCATGACATAACAATCACAGTTAATTTTTATTTGTGAAAATTGCCATAGATATATTGTAGGAAATTTCATTCTCTTTCAGGCGGTTTTTAGTTCGTATTTCTAAGCTGCATAGAACGGAAAATATGTAGTTTTTTCTGAAAGTCTACAATATTAAAAGGGCAACGTCAATTTAACTCCGGCAGCAGCGAAGTCGTGGGGGGTTTAAATGCCGACTCTTAAAGGTTAAATGAATCTATTTATTAGGCAACCAAGAGGTGGAACTATAATTAGTTTTAACACGATCTTACTGTAACTTAACACTTTGTAACTATGAACAATGATGACTAAAGGCTTCACTTCTGACTTCTTCTGACTTCTTGGCCTGTAGTCTCCTGGACTCTGCTTAACTCTGCTTAGCTTCTGCTATTCTGGACGGTTGACTGTCTGGTGTTCTGTTATCTACGCTAGTTGGTCTAGATATCACCTCCTTCAACAGTCGGATTGTCTAGAAATCAGCTCCAACAGTAGGGTTATTGCGTTTCCTAGCTGTTACTGTTTTTGAACAGTTCATTGCCATGTGAACAACCTCTACCTATCCATTGCAAAAGAAACATTCTTCTATGCATTATCTAGGAATCAGCATCTCTCTATGCAATTCATTTTTTCTGCCATCGAATTCGTTGCTGTGGAAACGTGATTACTGAGTTGTTGTATAGCAACCAGCGCCTGGCTCTGCCTCCACTATTGTGGCTTTCAGGCGTCATGTCACTTTAAAATATTTTCCCCCTTTTCTTCACTACAAACAACTAAAATATTCCTCAAATAATGACCCTTCTTTCCAACTGAATGTGCATAATAAACATTATAATACTAACAACATAATCATTTGTTGGATTTATTTTGTTGGTTATTTCATTACACCATCAGTAGATAGATATATAGTGCAGAATGGTAGGATCACAGATCAATGGGATAGGATACAGAAGGATGTACTCATGCCCTAATCGAAATACTAACCTGGGTTTGATTGGAGAGACTGTGGAAAACCCTAAAACCTCAGCTAGGATAGCCAATGTCTCAGAGAATATCTGAACCAAGACACTCCTGGATGCAAATCAATAGCAGTTCTCATGGTTAAATATTCAGTTATCCCATAACTTAATTATTTCCTTTGCAAATCTTCTTAAATGGAAGAAGTTCAGAAAGATCAAACTACCATAAAAGCAAACAATAGGGAAAAATGATAATTGGCAAAGTCTGAAGGCTTAAAGGTAAAGCTATCCCTATAACAGGCTGTGGAGGCCCACAGGATTGTGAGACACTGAGGCTCCCTTATTTTCTAGACAACTGGCTCATGGATGGTGATGAGATTGTCAGCATTATATGCCAGCAGCCCATTACCCCCAGGAAGATTCCTGTTACTGATTTCTGTTGGAGGCTGAATCGACCCCAAGGCCATAGTGCAGCTGGAAGGATCAAGTCAACTGAAAAATCCAACGACACTGGGAATCATACCCTCAACTTTCAGGCTTGTAGCATAGTGCCTCAACAAAGTACACTGCTGTGCCTAGACATTTTATATCTTTATCAATGAAAGTTATTACCAGAGATTATTCAGGTCAGTATCTTCAATGAAGTCACGTTCCATCATCCAGTGATCACTGAGGAACTTGGTCATGTAGTTACGCAATCCATCAGGCAGAATTACAACACAACACTGTCCTTCTTGCAGGCTAGCTGCCATCTTCAAGGCCACTGACACAGTAGCACCACTGCTCCCACCTATATGGTTAACAAACCCTCATTCAGTATCAATGCTTTAAAACATATGAAAGGACACTTTGGATTAAATATATTGCAAGCTAACAATTATGGTTATATTGTGAAATGGCGGCTGAAGTTCAGAATAGAGGAATGAGAGATGCAGCAATTGACAGACAATAGTGCAGAAAATATATTTCTGCAGCAACCAATCAACATGCAACAATACAGGAACTGTTAGGAGCGGTGTTTTCTGTGTGGTTTGTGCATAGGCTATTCAGCGAGGACCAACAGGAAACGTTTCTCAGTCCGGGGTCAGAGTCGGCAGTTTGTATTCACAAGTTGCAAGTATGCAGTGGCAGCTCATGGTTGGCCACAAAGAAACTCAATAGTTAGCAGCTGCTACCTAGCAATGATAGTGATGACAGAAAAACTAGCAGAAGACTTTGTATGTGCTATAGTTATAGTGATTTGTAAAGCTGTAAATTAGTGATGATATAACCATTTGTAGTTATAAATTATAAGTGTTCAATAAATTAAATTATCAGTCCAAACCTTGTATCTAGTTAATAAAATGTGACAATATGTTAATGGTACTATTAGGTTTATGACATGAGCTAGGATGGCGTAGTCAGTACAGTGACTGGCTACGGGCTGGACGACCAAAGAGTCAGAGTTCAAGTCCCTGTAGGGTCAACAATTTTCTCTTCTCCACAGCATCCAGACCGGCTCTGAGGCCCAGTCTCCTACCCGATGGATATCTGAGACTCTTTCCCCAGGGGTAAAGTGGCAGGGGCATAAGCTGACCACTCACCTCCAACTAGTACAGGTACTTGTGGAAATGTTCCAGCGTCCTCACTATGGCAAGTAGTTCTGGTCAGGTAACACAGTAGTTTCTCTCTGCTTTGTTTAGCATCATGCTGAAGTAAGCTATAGCACGCTCCTGCCCATCCTGTATTTGAGAGAGTACACCTCCAATTCTGACATTATGTGCATCTGTGTCCACGATGAACTTCTCTCCTGGCTGTGGGTAGGCAAGAATAGGTGCAGCACATAGGGCTCCCTTTAGTGTTTGGAAAGCGGCCTCCACCTCTGGAGTCCACTGGAAGGCCTGTTTCTCTTCTGTTAGTCTAGTTAGCGGTTTTGTAATGTTGGAAAACCCTGAGATAAATCACCTGTAATTTGTGCATAGTCCCAGAAAGCTTCTAATTTCATGTTTATCCTTTGGGGTTGGCCATTCTCGCACTGCTTTCAATTTTTCCAGGTCGGTGGATATACCTTCTGGTGATACAATATGCCTGAGGTACCAGACTTCTTTCTGCAAAAGTTGACACTTTTCCAGGTCAAGTTTCAGATGGGCTCCTCTGAACCTCTCAAACACTTTCCGTAAGTTGAGCATGTGCTCTTGGAATGCAGAACCTATTACGATCACGTTGTCCAAATACACAAGGCATGAATCGTACGTGAGACCTTGTAGGACTGTCTCCATTAGGCTCTCAAAGGTTGCCGGAGCATTGCAGAGGCCAAAGGGCATGACTGTGAACTGCCATAACGCTTGACCTGTCAAAAATGCTGTTTTTTCTTTGTCATCTGGGTGTATATGACTTGCCAATAGCCACTCTTTGGATCTGGCCAGCGTATCCAGGGTGTCATCAATCCAGGGTAGTGGAAAGCAATCCTTCTTGGTGACGTCATTCAGCTTCCTGTAGTTCACACAGAAACATAGTTCCCCATTCTTTTCCTAACCAAATGACCGGGAATGACCAAGGGCTGTCCAATTCTTCTATAACCCCCTGTTCTCACATGCTGTCAAGCATTTCTTTTACTTCTGCTTGTTTTGCCAGGGGTACTCTCCTCGGTGGCTGTCGAATTGGTTGGGCATCTCCTGTGTCTATGCGGTGATATACTTTGTTTTTCCTCCCATAATCTTCGTTGTCCCTCACAAAGATATCCGCCTACTTGGCCACGAGTTCCTCTAACTCTTGAAAAACTCTGATGGTTAGATGTGGCTTGGCTGCTGTGGTCACATCCGCTAATTTCGGTTTTACGCCTGGTGCTGGTGGCTGCCCTATATCGGGTGAAGTCAACAGTGTTACTGGCTCACAGTGCACCAGAGGAGATCCTCTCCTGAGCTTTTGGTCCCTGTGGGTAGCATTCATGACCCTCACTGGTACTTCCTGACAGTCCTGAACTAGGGTCCTGGCTACATAAATTCCATCAGGCAGATGGGCCTGCGGGCTTGGTTCTACTAGACCATTTTCTACTCCCAGATAATTCTCCATTTTAGCCATCACTATTCTCTCGTTCTGTGGGGGTATCACATGGTCCTTTGCTACTACTAAGCTAGGATGGGGTCCTGCCCCTGGACTCCATAACAATACTACTTCTTCCACCAGATGCAGAGTTTGGTGCCCTATGTCCACAGATGCATCATAGGCATGTAGTACATCCAGTCCCAATATGAGCTCATGGGTGACAGTCATGATGGAAACCCACACTGTTAGTGGTCGGTGCCCCAGGGTAAGGGTCAACAGAACTTCTTTCAGGATGGGTAGGGATCCTCCAGACATGGTCTGCAGCGTGAAATGTGGATTTGGCTGTCTTTCAGGCCATCCAGCAGCGATATCCGGTCTTACTACTGTGACATATGCTCCAGTGTCCACCGTCGCCTGGCATGGCTTATCACCGACCCATCCCTGGGTGACCAGACTGGTGTTGGTTTTTTCTATGATGTGAGTGTGTAGTGTTGGGGGCCTTAGCGCATATGCCGGCATCCGCCCCTCACTGCCGACCCTTGCTCATTTCCCGCCAGTTGGTCATTTCTCCAGCTTGTTTCTCTGTTGTTACCGGGTCGCCACTCTGATCTCCCCAGCGATTCTCGCTTATTTCTTGGTGGTCTGTCTTTTCAGTCCCGGTGCTCTCTATTTCCAGTTTTAATTCCTCCAGGAAAATGCCAGGATAGTACTTCAGTAAATCATGATTGCTTCCTTCCAAACTCTTTACAATTCACTGTTCAATGATCATTCAACAATTTGATGCTACACAGTCTAAGAATTTGATAGTGCCATAAAATAAGCCACAGTGAAAATCTAAAATACAAATCTAGTGGCAAAAAGCCAAGTGTCAGAGTGTCAGAAAATACGTTTCCTCATACATTATGAAATGTACACCATATTAAAATGACATATGACTGATCAAAAGCTCCATTCATTACTGATATTATTCTTATGGTTGTTGTTGTCATCATATACTCAGTATGAAGGTACATATATTTTTTTTTACCATACAATGTCTGAAATGATTGTATTGTCATAATTTAGGGGTGAGTGACTATAGAGGGGTATGGATTAGATTTACTAATCAAATTATACACACCATTCAAAACTACAAATAATTACAGTGCCATCACTAATTTCCACACTTTACAAATCACTGCTGCAAACATCTAGTCTTCTCCAGCCTGCAGTGTCTGCAACAGCCGTTACCTAGCAAAGGCTTCTAACAGTGGAAATTCTTCAGGTTCCTGCACTCAGGTCCTCCCAGTCCAGCGAATAACCCACAAGTGAACTCTCTCAATTCCACTGAGCCAGCCCGGGGTCCTCCTTATGTAGCACTGGGGCGGACCCAACAGAACACACGACCCCCAGCAGTTCTTCTATTGTTTTCATATGCAGTAATAGCCCAGATATCATTGATATATTCATTAGTTTCCGTGGGAATGTGGTTACCAAGCCGTTGCTCAGAAACGGTTTTGTATATTTGCATATTGCATAGCAATGGCTGTACATGCTACAATGTTTACAGTTGTCTAAATGTCTAAATGACACATATTGCCTTGCTTTGTCTTTTGTCTTTGTACATGTGTACTTCTTTCCTTCTTTGCTCAGACTCTGGGCTGACAAGTAAGCATGTATATACATAAAGAACTGAATTGAATTAATATTATTGCTATTAATTTTATTTTCATGTCTTCTAGAGACATGAGGATCTTTCACATGCCATAAATCTACGATGCGGGACACACGGCTTAAAGTCCCTCCCGGAGGACTTGTTCCCTGAATTTTTTCGCCCTTAAAAATTCCCCAATATCCTCCAGGTTTGAACCCGCGTACCTTGAGTCATGAGGTGAGAACGTTACCCCTAGACTACGGAGGCAGCTAGAGGCCACTCTAACTCCTGATTTTTCAGTTTATTACCATCAGTGATAACAGCATGGTGCATGCATGAACTTGTGAGTTGGTAATGCTCCTATTACCATTTCAATCTAAATCCTGAAATGACATATGGTAGAAAAGCACAGCTATTCCTGCACAGTGAAGATGTACGGGGACTTGAGATACATATGCAGATAGTTCCACCAATCTTAACCTGGGACAGAGCTTCCCATACCCACTGTATAAGAGGTTAGGTGGACCTCAGAGCCAATTGCTTTACTGGCTGAGTCATCCCAGCCTCATTATATGGCAAATTCAGGCCACGCCATAGCTCAAGCAGTTAGTTGCTGGCTTCCCATCGCGGCGGCCTGGGTTCGATCCCGGGTCTGGTCAAGTGGGATATGTGGTGGGCAAAGTGGCGCTCAGGCAGGTTTTCTCCGAGTACTTCGGTTTCCCCTTCCAATCTTCATTCCACCAGTTGCTCCACAATCACCCTCACCTATCATCTGGGGCTGGTACAATAGGCCAGATGTGGCTGCAGTCCCACCCCACTAGCAATAAAAAAAATATGGCAATGCATCTCTAAAATGTGTAGAGGTTTGTGTGTGAGTATGTGTGAGATTGCTTGTAGATTATCAACTTCTAAATAAATTCACTAAACAAATAAATTTGCATGCAGTACATATAATTTATGTTAAAATATGTACTAAACAATCGGATTATCCAGTATATATCTCATACACTGTTCACAGGTTCTTTAACTATGCTATATCAACTGCAATAATTACTTAACCTGAGATCAGAAGATGCTTATGCATGGTGAAATTGAAAGCACTGTGAGGTAACACTGTGAAGCCTATTTTAAAATACTAATCAGATTATAGACCATGAAGATTTGACAGAATCTAGATGAACATGTGAGAACCAAAGTTAACAGTACTCTCATTAAATAGTGGAAATATGTATTTATTTGCAAAGTAAAATAAATTCAGAAACCAGAATTTACAGAGATATCAACAGAATATAAAAGTTTCAACGTTTATAAAAATGAATACAATGTAACAGAGATCCTGAAACAAAGAAAAACAATAATTTAAAAAGAACATTTGAAACCAATACTAACATTCTTGTATAAACCCAAGAGATGGACTCTTACATAAGAAGACAAAAGCAAAATCCAAGAAATGAATGTTAAATTTTTGAGGGAAAATCTAGAAGTGACAGACTAAGTAATGGAATTTTTAGGGAAGAAACTGGAATTCAGAATATGTTAACAGAATTAAAGGGAGGAACTGCAATGGTTTGACTGCATAAAAATAGATAGAGTAATGAAAATGAGAAGAGAATTAGAATTAAAACAAACCAGAGAGAGCTATGTTTCAGCCAGATGAGAGGAAATAACTGGAAAGGTGTCAAGAAGGAAAGGAAGAAAGAAGAGATTGGAGACTTTGTGTCTACTGATGCATAAAGGGCAACAAAATGATTCTAGAAGAAAAGAGAAAGGATTCTGATGGGAGGAATTAAGTGAAAGTAAAAGACAGTTACAGTCTAGGGGTCTCTTTTGAACCAGTCAGCCTCTGAACACATCTACATGAACTCTCATAATTTCCCTGATATATCAAAAAAATCTTAAGGTAAAAATTGGAGAAATAAAACTACATTAAAGAAGAAAACCTTACCACACAACAATCCTTCCTCTCTTATAAGTCTCCTTGCCATCAACAGAGATTCCTTGTCATTGGATTTTGCCCATACATCCACAACAGAACGATCTGAAACATTAAAATAAAGCTTTTGAATCATTACAGATGTTGTGTGAGAAGCTTGAAATGCACATCCAGAGATGGCTTTGAAAGAATAAAGTACTACATTTAGTGTTTGTAGATTTGAGGAAGCCTATAGATCTGATAGTGAAATTTATGGGAGGCCATAAGATAATACAGATTTAACAGAGTTAACAAAGTTAGTGAAATACCTCCACATAAACAGTAAGGTATGAGATGAAGCAGAGAGCCAACCAACATAAGATCCATGCACTATAAAAGAGTAAGATAAGGATGGAGCATGGTACCAACATTTTCTAAATTATGTTTACAAGTTACCCTGCATTACTGGATGAAAAAATATGACAGGACAGAAGCAGACGCTGCAGATAAGAATACATATTTTTTAGGCTTTACTGATGACCAGGTTATTACAGCCCAAGATAAAGATGTTCCTGCTTGCACAAGATATGAAAATGACCCTGTGAAAGAAGAATTTTCTTACCCGTTTATTAGTGACTGGTGCCACCTTCAAAATACTCTCCTTGTGAAGCTATGCACAGGAAATTGTTAGTAAAATAAATGGGCTGTTGGAGACGTGTGTAAGGAAAACACTTTATCCCAAAGTGTTTGAATGATGTGATTAGAGAAGAGGCTGAGGCAGATCACACATAAGAAAAATGACAGATATTGTATGGACAAGTTCATCAACACCAATTACCATACTGTGTGTTTGAATGAACCCAGAAGGGTGTCAAGAAGGGACAGACCATGACATATCTACAGGAGGAAATAAGAGATCTGAGGAAGATGCAGAAAACTGTGAGAGATGGAAATTAAATGCAAAAACTCTTGAAGGAAAGGGGGGGGGTTAAAAATTACTATTTTCACTGCACTAAGACTGTCAGGACATGAACTGAGAAAACCCAGTGTGTTTGTCAATTGTCTATCAATCAAAATGTTCAAACTTTCATTCATTGGTCTTCAAAAGGTTATACTAATATTTTGTGATCTTTCTAACACTCACCCAGTACTGTTGGTACAAAATCGTATCCGATCCCTTCCACCTCATAGAATGAGACATCTGTTTTATTAAGCTCCTCTGGCTGAGCAAGAATGGAGCCTTCAGGGTCGACACCCACAATCTTGCAGCTGGGGCAATTTTCTTTCATTTTACGACCAAGACCAGTGATGGTGCCACCTGTACCAGCAGCACATACCAGCATATCCACGTGGTTATTACACTGCATCAGGATTTCCTCAGCTGTTGAGTCATAATGAGCCAAGGGGTTGCCCTCATTACGATACTGAACAGACAAGGTCATGAACTGACAGGAACATTCTCATTGCAGCAGCATAAAGACATTCTCAATCAATTTATACCTTGGCATAAGTAACATGTGTTTTGATTCTTGATTTTTAATTGAAGTGCCTCAGTGCCTCCCTTACTTTACATACATCCCAATTCCTTGACCTGGTAGTTGTGCCCTGGGCTGTGACCTATTACAATATCCAGTCACATGCAGCTCCCTGTGGGGAGGGAAGTTTAAAGAGTTTCCACCTTGCTAACTGTACCTGTTATATTGGTAACATAACTACTACCAACCCCTGACCAAACATCTCTAACTCATCTCCACCTGGATGAAGAAACCGAAATCCTGCACATCTGTCAAACATCCTCTCTCTTCAGCTGGTTTACATGGGTAGGAAAACCAGATTACAGAAAACATATGGCTACCATATATTGTGCATTACCATTGCTAAATATGGCACCACTTTATTGTCTACTTAAAATATTTATAATATACACAGAAGCACTGCTATGTATATCAGTCCCTCTATAACAACAAAATTATAAATAAATAATTGGAGACACCAGTGTTATTGATGAAATCAATATTTATTCACTAAGTTACTAACTACATGTTTCGACCACATACGGTCATCATCTGGCATTTAAAATGCTAAAAATGTTGACAACATACATCATTGGATTGCTAACCAATGAATCCATTCTTACTAATCTCATCTTACACAAAACAAATCCTCAAAATATGACATAGTGAATTATAATTGAATTAAAATTAATGTAGGTAAGTCTATTTCTACTGTTATTATATTGTGACATGTTGACCCCTACCTCCCCAGCTGCACGTAGCGGTAACGTAGTGCTCGCGTAATAGGCGAGTAATCACCCCGCAACTCTCCCTCGGTGACGTCACCACTGTTGACTCGCTTTGCATAGCTTGAAGGTTGCGGGGACTCGGCTAACGTCGGCTCCGCTCGTGACGTCACCGCGGGGAGAGTTGCGGTTTGATGACTCGCCTATTACGCGAGCGCTACGTTACCACTACATGCAGCTGGGGAGGTAGGGGTCAACATGTCACAATATTATGAATTAAAATGGTATTTTAGTCTACATTGCTGGAATGGGGGGTAGGGAGGAGGAGGTAGGAAGGGTGGTGTGCACAGAGTAGATATTGTATGAATATAGTGGGGGGGGGCAGGGTAGTACAAGTTCCAAGTTCTGTAGCAGTGGCTTTCTGCCGACTGTGACTCCCAAAAATCAACATGGTTTGACCCACTTACTGCCATCTCATAAGAAATAATTCTGCATGACAACCATTTCACAATAGCCTTGACCCATTTTGCCATAAATTTATTAACTATTCTGCCATCCTAGTCCTACAAGTACATCACCATGTTGCCAGATGTATCTTGCTTATGTTATGTCTTCTTTTCCAATTTACTAACTAAAAATTCGTTGCATCAAAATCACAGTGCCGCATAGCATTAATCATTTCACAACTGTATTAAAACAGGCTGTCATCATAGGTTTTACCCAATTATTTCACAGAAATTAAGGGTTGTTTTATAATGTGTACTATTTTTTATTAATATTGTAACTTGGAATTTTTAGTCTAAAGGGTGAAAGAAGTACTGCCCCATATGTCATACCATCTAAGAAACCATCGAGAAGTTCATTAACTTTCAAAGAGGTAGCAGAAGACAGGGAGAAACCACTAACTCTTTTCAGCACTAAGGCTGCTCGAGGTTTAATGATGCAGCTGAAAAATATGCAAATCTCCATATAATGTCAGTGAATATGAATATCACACACAGCCTTCTGGAACGTGACAGTGTAGTTTAACATACTGATACCAACATTTTGAAAAATTTTCAGTTTGCATCATCAGAATAGAAGCTGGAGAAAATATAGTTCTCAAAGTGTTTTTACTAATATAACAATATAACTATATAAAGTAATATAACTGTGATTTTCTTAGTTCATATGTTACAGGTGGTAGTGAAGCCATACTCAATGAGACTGGCCGAACCACGGCTCTCTTTGGTGGGGACACATCATGGACCAGGGACGTGTTGGGACACAGCTTTGGGACACCTCCTCATGATCTCACTGGGTAACGACAGTCTCGGGGTCTGGATCAGTATAACCTATGGGGTCTGGCAGCTAAGTTCCCATAAAGGGCAATGGCTTCATGACCGGAGCCTCCCACGCGGCAGCATAATGACTCTTGGGTACCACTATGGTGTACCCAGGATGAATGCGGGAGAGCACTCATATGGGGGTAGCTTCAGCTATTTGAGTTGTCTCCCTAGAGTACCAATAAGATGCTGCAAGCCTTAGGGCTCAACAATTAAAATGGTTTGACCAATCCATGTGGAGGGGTGGGAATGGGGGAGCTCGTAAGCAACCCCCAGGGGCGACACTCTCATGCAGGTTGCCCTGGTCACAACCTCATGACTAACTGGTGTCACATTCCCATTTACCATCTGGGATAACCCTCTCCCCCTGAACAGGCACTCTTGGTCCTGGAGGCTTGTGAGGGTTGCATTCACTACAGGACCAAACCACCTAAGCCAAGGTTTGAGGCATCATGCTGAGGGCTGCATGGCACTGGGGTGGTATTTAGCCAGTGTCTTGAATGATCCTCTAGGGGCACCAGGCAGCACCCTATTATATTTATGCCTTCCACCTGTATGGGGCACTGTGGGTGGGGACCTTTTAAATCCCCATGACTCGTCAGACCAAAATGAAAGGAACCAAACTAAAAACTGGTCATAAGGACCTTAAACTGAAGAGGGACCCCCTTCCAAGGGGATCCCTATGAGAATTGCTTCAGTAGGGCTGGAAGCTCTGGTGAACCACTAAGGGACTCAGGTGCAACCAGTGAACCTGCTGTTGAACTTTCAGCCAAAGTCAGGGACAAACCAGTGGTTCGAATTCTACCTGAAGTAAAACCAAAAACTCCTCTCTTGGGAGTTTACCTAAAGGTAAATCTGGAGACCATCTCGCAAAATATACGAACAATAAAGGATGTTGATCGGTCCGTTGACCAGTTGCAACAGGCTATTACCTTGTCCTTTTATTGGAATTGTCTGGCTAGGACCACTCGCGAACCAAGGAGAATGACTTGGTGGAGTAAACAGCTGAGTGGGCTTAGAACCAAAATGAGAAGGTTGTTTACTACAGCTAAAAGGGGACACCTACAAGGAAGCCCTTACCTGTTACAACAAAGATATAAGGGAAGCCAAGCGATCCTCATGGAGGAGGCACTGTCTGGAGATCAATGATGTACCAGGCAGTGCCAGACTCATGAGGTTCATGGCAAAACAGGCAACCAATAAAGTCAGCACGATTAAGCTGCCTAATGGGCAGTATACTCTAACAGGAAGGGAGGCACTGAACGAATTACTCAGGGTTCACTTTCCTGATTCAAAACTGATTGATAATTTGGACGATGGACAGGGTCAGCAGAACCTGGGCACTTGCTAAAGCAGGACGAACAGGGCAGGCTGGAACCTGGCAAAAGTCATAATTAACCAATCAAAAATCAGATGGGCACTGAATACCTTTAGACCATTTAAGTCAGTGGGAACAAATGGAATTGTACCGGCACTTTTGCAGCATGACGCTTAGTTCCACACCTATGCCGCATATATACAGCCTGCATGGCATATGGTTTTATCCCATGGCCTGGAGGCAAGTTAAGGTGATGTTTATCCCAAAGCCCAGGAACCCTTATTACACCGAGGCTAAGGCTTATCATCCTATCAGCCTGTTGTCTTTCCTGTTGAAAACGATGGAGAAAATAGTGGATAGGCATATCACGGATGGGGCGTTGAGGACATATCCTCTACACCGAAACCAGCATGCCTACCAAACAGGTAAATCTACCGAAACCGCACTACACCATGTGGTAACATGCATAGAAAGTGCGATTGAACACAAGGACATTGCCTTAGGAGCATTCCTTGATATAGCGGGAGCTTTCAATAGACCCTCATTCGATATAATCAAACAGGCCACTGGAAAGCATAGCACAGAGCCTACAATATGCAGGTGGATCAGTGCCATGCTGGAAAGCAGAACCATAGTTGCCACATTATTAGGAGAAACCCTGGGGGCATCCATGTCTAGGGGGTGTCCACAGGGGGGGGGGTGCTCTCACCTCTCATACAAGGACCCTCTACTAAAAGAGCGAAGGAACTGTTGAAGTTAAACAGGAACCAGCTACAATGGATGGTGGGACTACTTACAGGACACCGTCACCTTAAAGGACACCTCTTCAAACTGGGACTAAGTGATAGTCCCACTTGTGAGAGGTGTTAGGAAGAAACAGCCACACATATCCTGTGTGAATGTGAGGCCACAGTTTATTTAAGATTATGTTAACTCGGGTCAATACTTTATGGAACCAAGTGACCATTTCGATGGCCCCACATATAAAATCCTATGCTTCATTTGAAGCGCAGGATTGCTGAGAAGATAATCAAAAGGGGAAGCAAAATAGACCACTGAAGGTTGCAGTGCAAGGGCCGAGAAGGCCCACCCCTTATATTGTTCCGTTCCGTTCGTTCATACTACTATAACAAAGAACATGGTCTAATACCTCAGAAGATAACAATCTTAATCATCAAACGGGATGGAAAGATAAATTAATGGTGGAAAATGAGAAGTGTATAGGATGTTGGATAGTACTTATTGTCACATAGTTTGTGTGACTATAAACAGAGTTTGGATTGGTGAATAGATTTATTGACCACTTAGGGATCGTAACTACAATAACTATAACACTACTGCCGATTTCTACACTTTGCACATCACTACATGCACTCCAGCCTGCAGTGTCTTCTCTACACATTTCCTGGTAATGGATTTTAACAGTGGAGACTCTGCTCAAATTCTCTCTTTACACAGTCCTGTACAGAGTTGACGTGGTAGCCCCAAGTGTCCTCATAACTCCTTGGCAAGGACTACTCAGAAACACCCCATTTCCAACAGTAACTCCAGTGTTTTGGAATGAGTCATTGCTATGGGAATGTGTTCAGTGAGCCATTGTCTGGGAACACCTCTGGTATCTTTGCCTATCTTGCAGTTTTCACTCTCTATGCTACAATACTGGGAATACCCCAGCATTAAACTGTATGGACTGAGAAGAATCACCAAAAAACCTCTGTTAGGACAGCTTTTCATCAGGTAATTTTAAAAGGAAGTGCCTCAATTACCAAGTCACATATGTTGATCCTATGCTGACTTGAATGGTGTATTACCTGATCTAAGATGACAGAATTTGGGATCTCCTTGTTGAGGCGCTGTGCAACCATGATAAGTCCTTCAGGAGAATCAAAGGAAGCTGAGGTGGGTGTGCGAACTATCTCAGCTCCAAGGGCTCGCATCACATTTACTTTCTCATTGGACATCTTCTCTGGCATGACCATGATGCAACGGTACCCTTTCACAGCAGCAGCCATTGCCAAACCCAGACCTGACATTAAAACAAGCGAAAATATCACAAATTGTCAATGAATAATCCGTCGAGTGTAACAACGTTCTTAGGTCACTTATTTATTTCACTCGCCTTACATGTTTCGGTTCAAAAGGACCATCATCAGAGGCACGTTACAAACACATGAAACCACTGGCGTTGTATTGTACACAGTATGTAAGCTGCGTGATCTGCTAGAGATGTCGGAGTGTAAAAGCACAACACTTTCTAGTAACGTTGAATGCATGTACACCTCTTGCATTCCATCCAAAGAATGCTCTCAAATTGAGCCGTCAATGTTAAAATATTTAAAAGCTTAAAACATTTGAAATAAAATTTGGCTCCTTCTTGTTGATTCGTCCCGGTGATGGGAATCGTCAACTTGAGGTTGTGTATGCTTTTGGTCGGATGTGTCTTACGCGTTGTGTGTTGTGTACTGCAGTACACAACCAACGCGTGTGTGACAGACCCTTGATAAACAGTTGGTTGCCAAGTTACGCAACAGTGGAAACGAGGTTACACAACAGTAAGGAAAGCAGTGTTTGTCCATTCCCAGCCGAGCCGAAGCTCACTGGTTGCTATGCAGCATTGCCCAGCAACGCCTTTGTAAACACGGCGTCATGCAAGAGGGGAGCCTGTGCAGCGACTGTTGCTAGGCAATCGGTAAACATGACGTCACGCAACAGTGAAAGCTATCATGTAACCGTTTTTTGTGTTGTCAGTGCAGAAGCTACATAACAGGAATATTCATCATTGAGAGAGCGTAACCAGTCAATTGCAGTCTAGCATTCGCAGGAATGAGTTGAAGTCCATTGTTATTGAGTTGTATCGAGTGAATGGAAATGACTACAGGAGAAGTATTTGTGATACTGCTGATGGCAGTAGTTGTGAAACTGTAAACTGTGTAAATGTAAGCGCAAATGTGCAATAAATTCACTAGATCCAAAACGGCGTGAAGTTATTTGTCATGTAACATACCCAACAGGTGACATTATTTTTGACATTGTCTGTCATCTGTGGTATATTTGATATACACAGCATTTTTTTTAAACTGGCTCTGTCTCTGTCATCAGGTGTAAAGGGAAAGGATCCAACTAAGTTGGGCTAATTAAACAGTGTCTAGATTGCTGTCCAATGACTGAGGAACCTGCTGACTCCATCTTCATGGTATAAGACATTTCCAAGTATTCTGATCACATTCACAGCAAATGAAGTATACCTGTGTTCCCTGAAGTGGGTTCAATCAAAACATCTCCAGGCTTCAAGATTCCTTTCTTTTCAGCATCTTCCACCATTCTGACTGCAATGCGGTCCTTCACACTTCCTCCAGGATTAAAGAACTCACATTTGACCACTGGAAACACAAGAAAAAAAAAACACAAGAATTATAACAGTCAAAGTGATTTGTTACAGCTGCATTCAGCCTCCATACTTAACACACACACACACACACACACACACAATGTTTCAGGAAATGTCTATACTCGTGCATTATGCAGGTACCTTCTCTTCAATTTAATTTATTTTTGTTCCTTGTAACTGAACCTGAAGCTTTTGAAAGCAATCCCAGTAGGCGTCTGAGCATTACACCATTAGTGGGAAGTGGAGGTATAACTTCATGTATTCTTAACCTCGATACTAGATACAGATAAGAGTGATCAGTTTCACATGTAGGGCACTTTATTCTCATTGAAAGGGTACCCAATGATTGGGAGGCTGGGTAGGCCCCACAGCTGGTCTGGATGCTGAGGAGAAGGAAAACATCTCTGTGATGAAAATGGCTGTTGTCAGTAGCTTCAATTAAATTTTGTAGACAAGTTTAGCTGAGCTGTGCAGTGCTGCTGGCTCACAGGAATTAGCTCATTAAGCTTGGTTGGACTATGGGGTGATCTAGTTCAACCAACCTCTTTTTTTCCTTTAGCTTGAAATTGAAAGTAATGTTGTTGAGAGCTCCCTTAGCTCTCTTTTTCTGCGTTCTGATGCTCCAACAAAAGCAGATGCAAGTTCTCCTTCAGACTTGTTGTGTTTGTAGTGAGAAATTGGAAATTGATGGTTTTGTTTGGGCTGGTTGCAGCATATGAGGGGAGGTCCGCTTTGGATGCTGTTGTATGGGTATGGGTGAGGTATGTACCACTGGAGCCAGTGATGACATGTTTGGGTTGTTATTTCTTTTCTGTTTTAGCAAATACACCATATCTGTCACATGCATGCTAAGATAAGTTTGTATTTTATATGAACAGAGCAGTACCTAAGGCAGCATACAAACAGTTTTCAGTATTATTATTATTATTATTATTATTATTATTATTATTATTATTATTGGAGGGGGTGGGTTTCCCCATGCACCGAAACTAATAGTCTATTGTGTGTCCCCCTTTGATATTCGCCCAGTCACCATGCCCTTCCAGTACTGGTGCTCGCTATCAGCCCCGTCCTGCCAGCGAGGTCGGCCACCTCTCTGGCAGTGGTCCCCGATACTTCCCCATCTACCGGAGCAATTGGAAACTACTTGGGAGGGAAACTTTGCCTAATTTTGTTCAGAGGTCTCCTAGAGACATGAGGATCTTTTACATGCCGTAAATCTAAGACACGGGACACACGGCTTAAAGTCCCTCCCGGAGGACTTGTTCCCTGAATTTTTCCGCCCTTAAAAATTCCACGACCTCAGCCGGGTTTGAACCCACGTACCTTGCGTCATGAGGTGGGAACGTTACCCCTAGACTACGGAGGCCGCTAACAGTTTTCAGTAACTGTTAACAAACAATACAAAGTGTCCTAGAAAATTAAAAGTGAAAATATCAGCTGACACTAAACATGAGTATTATTTCTGACACTGAATCATCTTCAGGTTCTTCACACTGTGCACAATGCCCAAAACAAGGCATGTTAGTTTACTGCTACACACCATTGTCAGAAATATTTGCATTTAGCTGTCAACTTACGCATCTCACACTTCAGGCCAAAAGACTTTGGAATGTTATTCAATCGAACCATAGGTGTACCTCCAACAGCAGAAAGTATGTTTGGCATAATCTCTACCACATCAAGCCTGAAATAAGAAATGACTTAATATCAATCAAGAACCAGTAAAACATTTTACTTTATTTTCAGAAATGGATTTCCCTTGCTTGAAGGATAACTTATGACATTTGTGATAAAATGTGTAATCATGCATGGAAAAGGGAACAGAAATTTATTACATATATATATATATACATTACATTCTGTAGATCCAAAGTAAGTCAGAATGACTGTAGGATGTGGAACAAGTTATACAAATACAAAAGCCATAAATACAGTACAACGGAGACACAAAAAATAAATACATCCGCATATATAAGTCAATACTGTTACCTTATGCTATGTACATAACCTTTTAACAGGACAAGCCATTTTTAGACAGTAGGAATTCATGAACAGAGTGTGTGTGTGTGTGTGTGTGTGTGTGTTTCAGGGCTCACTTAAATTGCGCCTTTCATTCATTAGACTTTTGAGACTAGATGGTATATTGTTGAAAATGTTAATACCAGAATAACATGCGCCTTTCTGAAAACATGTCAAGTTAGCAACCGGTCTATGGAGATGGTGCTTGTTTCTCGTGTTAACACTGTGTACATCCGAATTGGTCTGAAAACGTTCTTGGTTGTTTATAATGAAGCTTAATAATGAAAATATATTTTCAAATGGACGAGGTAAGATCTGCAATCTCTTAAATAGCCCTCTACAAGATTTTTGAGGTTTTACGCCCACCATGATTTTAACAACTTTCTTTTGTAATGTAAATACCTTTTTGCTGTCAGATGAGTTACCCCAAAATATTATTCCATACTTCATTATAGAGTGAAATAACTTCATGGCAAATTGATTCACATTCATCAGACTAAAAAGAACGGATCAGGAACACCACAAACATGCATCCAAGAGGTTCATGGTTTGAACATTAGCCATGTTACCAACTCTACCGGTTTTAGATTTTCCTCACCCTACCACAGGCATGTGCTTGGCTAGAACATCAAAACAGGTCATGACTGACTCCTTCAAAAGCCTTACTGCAAACCACTCACAGCTTCTTCCCAATATATTTCATGCTACAAGAAATCTGTAGTTGAAACATCATCATTAAAACTCAAGAATAAATCACAAAAATATATAAGAGTCATATCACAAGGGGCCGAACTCTCCCACAAAATGTTCATTTTATTACATAAATATGTGATCATGAGAAAACGTGTTTTGAGTGTGTGACACACAAATTCCAAGCTCTAAGCCTTCATCTTTGGAACACTGTAGTTCTGAGATGAAGTTCTCACATGTGTGAGGACATCTGGGATATGACTCCATGTAAAAATTAAAGCTATCCCTGTAACAGGCCATGGAGGCCCATAGGTTTGTGAGATGCTGAGGCTCCCACATTTTCTAGACAATCGGTTCACAGATGGCAATGAGGTTGTCAGCCTTAAGCACCAGCCCCCAGGAAGATTCCTGGTACTCATTTCTGTTACTGGCTGAGACGACCCCAGGGCCATAGTGTGGCTGGAAGGACTAGGTCGAAGTTCAAGAAATAGATATCAATATGTATCAACAAAAGTACATGGCATCAAGCCCCAGAGAACTGTCCTCTTGAAGTTGGCCAGTTAATGATGCTGTTAGTATTGAGACTATGTACTAATCTTGAGCTGTAATAAGGAAGCTTGTGAAATAAATCAAATTGCTGACATAGTATAATCTTCAGGCTTTTTTTGTAGTGTGATGAATTTACAACAGTGATAAACTATACTGCAGTCATGGAAAGAACATAGATTCTGTCAGAGGTTGCATGGAAGCATGTAAGTGCACTGTATGGTCAATATGCAGCTTGTAATGTCACAGATTATGGCACATATAATTATCAGTGCACTTACTCTACATGGTTAATGGAAGAAACTGTGCATATCCAAATTAAAAACATAACAGTTCATGGTGCCATATAATATCCGGTCAAGGCTTCCCATATTTTATCTGAAATGCTACAAACAATGTGAGACACCTGGATGACAACTGTAATTCTAAGTTGTGACTGTAACTAGGACAATCTCCACATCTGCATGAGAATGTATTCTCGACAGGATTCATGGAAGGTGAATAAATGAAATGAAATGAAAATGACATATAGAACGAGCCATTTGCACAGTCTGGGACACAAGCATACTGTTTCAAACACCCAAATACAATTTGAGGCACAAATCCACAATCTGAGACACAAGCATGTAATCTGAGAAAGGCACAAGCAGTTCTTTCACGGCTTGAAAGCAAAGCTACATGGTTGTAGATTGAGGAGGTCGTTAATGCCACAAGAGACACCGTACAGATTTTCTGCCAATATGTTTCAGCAGTGTTTTCGGCAGCCATATCAATGTTGGCAGGCTTGAATTGTGGCCAACGGCAACTATTTTGAGGACTGATGTGGATCTGTGTATGTGTATGTGAATACCTTGTAATATCATGTGATAAAACCAAACGACTGTACCACGTATGTACAATTTGACATACCTACATAAATTTGAGGCATCTTCACATACTTTCAGAGAGCTACATACACAGTTTAAAACACCTGTGTGCACTCTGATTAATGTGCATATTGTCTTAGATTCCCATATATTGTTTGAGAGAGTCTGTACAGTTGGATACATATTCATAAGGGGTGAATCAACCATGCACAATTTTGGACCCAATGAACAGTCTGAAACACTCATGTACAACGTGAGACACCCACAAGCTGCTGGAGATATTTACTTACAATTCAAAACATGCAAGTAAACCTTGTGACACAAATGCACAGTCTGTCATATCCACTTGCAGTTTGAGACATCAACATGCAATCCTAGATTCTGAATCATCTACAACCTCTCTTGAGAGACCTACACTCTCTTTAAGCCACTTATGTATGTTTGAATCACATGCATACTCTTTGAGGCTTCTGCATACTATTTGAGAACCATATGTAATGTTTGAAACAACCCCAAATTCTGAAACTACTAAAAGTTCAAGGTAACTACATAGTCTTGAGATACCTACATGAGTATGTGGCCTGAGAAAACTACTAGAAGTTCTCATATATACATACAGTCTGAGACATCTGCATGCAGCCTGGGACAGTTACATGCAGCCTGAGACACTTGCATGAAATCTGAGAGGCAATTTGAGATACAAATATAAATTTTATACATTTACATAAAGTTTGATATATCCACAAAATATTCGATACACCTAGATAATTATATTTCAGCATCCTGTTGCGCTGGTTAATGATTAAATTTGTAGGGATGGTCCTGAAGGTCCAACATCTTCTTCTGTTTTGTAATTTATTATGAAATGCTTCTTCTACATGTTTCAACATTATAAGGGCATCATCAGGTAATTGCCACACTTCACTGCTTTATGCAGTTCATCCTTCTAAAATTAAGTTAAAGCTAGTTCAAAATTATTATTCAGTTTCAACAAATTTAGTAAAAAAACTTGTCCTTTTGTTTATTGATACTTTTGTGTCTCCAGCACTCCATGGTTGCTTGGAATGTTTGCAGAGTCTTGGTTACAGCAACCATCCACGAAAAGCACAAAATACTATGTTGTACTGAATATAGACCTTGCCCACAACATAACTGTTCTACACCATAACAATACTTTGTGCACAGTCCAAGAAATCTATGTCTTAATTCTTTGCTTCTGAATGGCAGGCAGAAAGACAAAAGACTCTAACCTGAACAGTGACAAGCATTCCCTGAATTTGTTCTCTCTTCATTTAATCCAGAGTACAAGTTTCATTTGTTACCATCATTCCCAAATCGAAGGATCTACTAGCTACCCTTATGTTATGACTTTGAGATGGATTTTGTTGATGATATCAATAATATGACAGTAAGAATTATGATAATTGCAGGGATACATATAATTAACAAAAAACACAATTTAAAGAATTATTTTTAAGTATTAATACATGTACGAATGTTATTTCATGATTCATTTTTGTTGGCAACTGAATCGAGTCTGACATCTGTTGTCACACAGTAAAGATCATATTTGATGTCCATGCAATAAATCTGAGTTTGATTCAAAACGTTTTGTGCCCTCACTCTACTTTGATCTTCAAACGTTTGTCTTGGAAACGCACCTTACAGGAAACAAAACAGGACCCTATACGTTGCAACATCTGATGCCAAATTCCATTAAGCAAGAGGAGCTCTACTTAAGTTCACAAAATAATGGATCATCATGGTTCATAAGTGTCTATGGAATGAATCACCACCTTCAAAATATTGCAAATGACAATCAGGTCTCTTTTCTACAGACAAATGTGTCATGTCTTAGGGAACCATTGTGGAGTCACATGGCTGTGTGAAACAGCTCCATTTAAGTCAACATTTTGCTAAAGTGTGCAATAAACGCTCATGGAAAAGGAGTCTTATAGAAGCAATAGCGTATTAAAAGAGGTAAAATTGTCCTTGTGCTTAAATAATTAAGCACTATGACAAGAAGATACAGGAGGGAGTGAAGGTATAGCTCCACCATTCTTGAACTTGGCACTAGATGGAGCTGAGTGGTGAGCTTCACGCCCTGACGCTTTACCCCCTAGTACCCATTGGATATGAGTCTGGCTGGGTCCCACAGCCAGTCTGGACGCTGTGGAATAGAGTCAAATCTCTTGGCCCTTGCTGGGAATAGAATCCCGGTCGTCCCATCACTTATAGAAGACATCGAGAGAGCTATCCCAGCCCGAAACAATGGGGTACATCGGCTGAGAGTAACCAAGACATCATGAGCATCCTACTCCTTCTCCTCCTTCTCCTCCATCTCCTCCTCATTCTCCTTCTCCTCCTCCTCCTCCTCCTCCTCCTCCTCCTACTCCACGTTTCCCACGTCCCGGCTGAAGAAACACCGTGAAGACGAACGAATGAAGTGACTGCAGGTAAGGTAATCTCTTCTCATAGGCACTAAATAGTAATGAGTGGTTAACACGGTTAAGAGATTTCTTCTGGGACATGATCATAGCAAGTGGCGTGCTTAAAGAGCAGCGAAATTCTGTACTCACTTTGGTGTGCCGGTGTGCGTGTGCGGGGATTTTCTGCGATCCATCCCTAGCTGCCAGGTACAGCGACTGGGCAGATCGGGTCGTACCATCTCCCCCGATGTCACCTTGCACGTGGGCTTTCCTGGTGAGTCTGTAGGGCTTGATGTAGTAGGCGGGCTCATGGTTCTGCAATAGGACACGACACAAGGTCAAGGCCCACCTAATTTCAAGGCTTCAAAATGCGCTTCTATCTGGGCCGGTGCATAAAGCGGACTGAAATTCCACCACTTCTGTGTTTCATAGCCATTCTGGAGTCAGCGGCACCCATACTTTTTAGACAAAACACTAATTCTACTAACAAATTTATACGACGAGGGGCAGTAAGTAAATAGGTGACAATTAGAAGTAAAACAGGTCTCGTATGTTATCACTAGGTTGCAGCAGAATCCAGTTTCATGAGTCTAAGCAGCAGACGCGCATGCGCATGTTCACAGTCTGGGTTCACTAGTGGAAATGGCGATCGTGCTTGAGGAGTGTGCGACCGATGAGCAGCGTTATTATGCGTTTTTTGTGGGCAAAAGCACTGAATTCAAAGGATACACATAAAGATATGTTTCCTGTTCACGGTGGGAAGTGTTTGTACCGTAAAACCGATCATAACTGGGTCCAGAGATTCTCTCAAGGACTTTAGAAAGTTTCAGATGATGAAACGGTGGTGCGGAAGTGGCTGAGAAAACAGTCAAAAGACTTCCATGCAACGGGTTTCGACGCACCGGTAAAGCGATGGGTCAAGTGTATTAATGGTGGTAAAGGATATGTCGAGAAATAAACGTTTTTTGTTTTCAGATTCGAAGATGGCATGTTTTATGTTTTATATCCATTTGTGACCTATTTACTGACTCCCTCGTAGCATTTTTAGTATTCCATCATTTTTCGCTTAGTGGGGGGGTGGAGTCTAACTGGGTCCACTCGGCACGGCGGCCACTGATTGGCCTATTGTACCTGCCCCAGGTGATTATGATGGAGAATTTGGGGGAATGAAGATTGGCAGGGGATACCGAAGTCCTCGGAGAAAACCCGCCCCAGCACCACTTGGCCCACCACATATCCCACTTGACCAGACCCGGGATCGAACCCGGGCCGTCGCGGTGGGAAGCCAGCGACTAACCGCTTGAGCTATGGCGAGGCTTCTATTCCATCATAATTTGTCTCTTCCTCACGAATCACACTGATGATGGCCTATCTGGGTCGAAACATGTTCCGAATGGAATAACAAAAACATAAGTTTGTGATATGGTAATGCCTTCGTTTTTATTCGACGTCATGTTGACTACAGCCATATATCCTTAACATGTCACCGTCGAAAGGAATTCAAAACAAATCTACTTTCGACATGGTTTCAGCTAACGAAAACGAAATAAATAATAAATATTATCAGTATTAACCTAATAAGAAGGCCGCGCCAGAGCTCAAGCGGTTAGTCGCTGGCTTCCCACCGCGGTGGCCCGGGTTCGACCCCGGGTCTGGTCAAGTGCGATTTGTGGTGGATAAAGTGGCGCTGGGGCAGGTTATCTCCGAGTACTTCGGTTTCCCCTGCCAATCTTCATTCCACCAATTTCTCTACAATCACCCTCACCTATCATCTGGGGCTAGTACAATAGGCCAGAAGTGGCCGCAGTACAAGGGACTTAGTCCCACCCCACTAGCAATAAAAAAAAACATGACAATTAATATTTATGTTTCTTACAGTTTTAATGCTGTGGATGGAAGTACGGCATTGGAAATGCCTCACGATAGAACTGACCCCTTTCGATTTAACGTCTTGAAATTAATCCACGGGTGGTATTGAAGCCCAACGCTCACCGGAGACGTCGCGAAGGTCATGATGATGTAGAGAGGTTACAGCGGTAACAGCACTACGTATTCCGGACCTCAATGTATTGTATACACAGTACAGTAAACCCTTGCTAATCCGGAGTAATTTTGAAGGGGTAGGTCATCCGGATTAAGCAATAACCCGGATCAGTGAAGCAAAAGCTAACATTAAAAGCCAAAAATGACGTAGAACACAAATAAATGAATAATTTAATGACAGTGCTCGATGAAAATAAGTAAAAAAAATATCACTGAAGAGCCTTTATTTAAAATTATATAAATAAAATATATTTATTCGTCGACAGAAGACTCAGAAGTTGTATCTGAACATGATAATGTAGGTTTGAAGAAACTTTACGTGTTGCATCCTGTTGTGTCATTCAAAATAGTGTATTTCTATCAGTCAACACAACAATTCAGGTAAAAGTAATAACAAAGGTTATTTATATTAATGATAATCACGACATGTTTCGACCACTATTGGGTCATCATCAGGTGTATCTCTGTATTTAGGTGCTGATTTTTTGTTCAGTTTATTCATAAATACGTAACTTGTGTAACCGGTTGTTACCTCTAGACGCCGTATGTACTGATATTTTTGCACTGTATTAATTAATCAATTAATACTGAACTGTAATTGGTCTAAGACCTAGTATCATTTTTGTACTCAAGAGCTGCATATTCTCAATTTTAATCTGACAGTTCTAAGAATTCTAGTATTGCAAGATAAAGCAAGACGCTTGTAACATGAAGAAAAATTACGTTGGCTGGAGACGGATTGTCGGCAGTGCACCGAAGCCGAGCTCCTCTAATTTTTCAGAAGCTTTAACAATCCGAATTCTGGAAGTATTCAAGTTAAATACATGTATTTGATTGGCTTTGACAATTAGCTCTGTCGACCCCGTGGTTTTCTAAATCAATGTAATTTAAATTAACAAGGGGCTTATATCATTTGAAGTCTACGATAGTTAACTTCGGATGACGCTTAACAGTCTCTCCAACTAGCCTTGTTAATGAGACGAAAAATCCACGGATCTCAGACTTATGAGGGTAAAAATGGTAAAGTTGTCACTGTGCTTAACTAAGCACTACACCATGAAGGCGTATAGAGGGAACGGATGTATAGATTAACATTTTCTTGACCTCGGCACTAGCTGGAGGTGAGTGGTCAGCTTCACGCCCCGGCCGCTTTACCCCCGGGGAAAGAGCCCCCGCTAGGTGAATCCCAGAGCCGGTCTGGACAATATGGATAAGTGAAAATTCTTGAACTCACCAGGACTCGAACTCCGACCCCTCGGTCGTTCAGCCAGTAGCCAGCCGCTATACAGACTACGCTACCCCGGTTCACCTTATAAGAGTATACTTTAATAATATTCATATTAATAATAATTGTGATACAGGTGCAATAATATCAGCCTCCAACTGCTGATTATGTACCCAAGTGTAGTTCTACAGTGTAAATAAACTAATCGCTTTGTTAACTATGTGTGAGCCAGTCGAAGTGAGACCCGTGAAGCCCTGTGAGGGAATTCTCATGCACGCCCACTGAACATCAGTCCCTTCTGACCCACAAACAAATTCCGTGATTTTAGTTCGCAAGCGAACTATACCGACCGAGCGACCGCCGCTTGTCGGTGAAGTTTAATTCGTGATTTCTTAATCACGTGGCTCCCGAAAGGGATAAGAAATGAGAAGGCGGCGGCTATACTTGAAAACTTAATACGATATCATTCACGCTAGTGTGTAGTACTAAAATTCTTTTAATTTTAATCTTTTAAAATTTAAATTAACTTCCATTTAATTTTATGCCAATACGGCTTAAAGCCGAAGAGTAAACAAACCACAGGCCCACTACGAAGCAATAATCATATAGTCAAATATGAATTGAAATACGGATCCATATTGAACAAACATTCAGGGCCTAATTACGCAGAGATACACCTGATGATGCTCCAATAGGGGTCGAAACATGTCGTGATTATCATTAATGTAAATAACCATTGTTATTACTTTTACACAAATTGTCGTGTTGACGGATACAGATACACAATTTGGCAGAAACTCTCCAAGTTTTGTGTGAACAGACAATTGACTCATCTGCCTTCCTAAACGCCACGTGTTCTTTAAAGTATGTACTCAACTGTGAACAGCATTTTTCATATTTCGATCCGGATTAGCGAGGGTTTACTTTATACATATTTTCGACTACTAATACTTATATTCAGTAGGTAGCAGATTCGAATCCTGGCCGGACCAGAGATTATCCTCAGGATTTTCGTGGTTTTTTTCGGCCCATCCAGATAAATAACGGACTGATATGCTAAAACAGGCCACGACCGCTTCATTCCACATCATTATTCACAATTATCTAATCATATGACGAAACAAAGTAAGTCTGAGTTACTTGAAAGCGTCGTTAAACAAACTACAAATAAATAAATTGTATACGCCTAATGTTTCTGTTTATAGAAAGGATGTTCACGTAAGCTAGACACAACGACTAATCATTGTACTGACTGTACTTTACCATCCCATATGGACATCAATATAGAAACAAAACGCAGAGTTGCGGGTACAAATTACTCACCACAAAATTACACATTTCAGAGAGATATATAAAATTATATTTACCTCAGACTCTTATTTTGTTTCTGTACTAGGAGTTACACAAATAAAAATAAAATATCACTTGAGTACAAGATAGGTATATATCACATTTGCCTGCAGCAACAAGCACTGCGGTATGCTTTTGTTCTGCTGTTATGTCTGACCAATTTTACAGGAAGAAAACTGGTTATGTAGCCACACACACAAGTAACACAGCCTACCGTTACGCCCAAGCCACGCAAGTCGCACAACCTGCAGCTCAACCTTACTGAACAGAAGTGAACGGAAGGGAAAGACCACAAAGAGGACAAGGAGGTTGCATGTCGTACCGGGTTGTTTGCGCATGCCCAGATTCACAAGAAAATCGGTACGGGAAACGTACAAGTTTGTGGAATACTCCCAGATAATGGAACCTAATTGTAAGCTCAGAACGAGGAACGGGCTATTTCGTGCTTACTTTATTATTACTATTATTATTGTTGTTGTTGTTGTTGTTGTTATTGTTATTATTATTATTTGACTGCAATTGGGTGTTCACCCGGTGGCAGTAGAACTTCCAATATACACACAAGGAAAGTCTATAACATAATAGAACATAATATAACATAATAGAACTCACTTTCTATGTCACAAAACTATACTTTGTTTCGAACCTTCGAACTCCCCTTCACTACGCCGGTGTCTTAACCTTAGGCCACCCGTGCCACGAAGATTTCTTGTCTTTAATCTTCCTCTTATGTTACATCTTTTGTTATAATTACAGAAAAATTATATTAACTACATTTGTATTTTATAAAACTTTCGCTGGTTCGGAACCTCGGAACTCCTGCACATTAGGCCAGGGTCCTACCCATAGGTCACCGATGCCACGGAAATTTCTTACCTTTAATCTTCGTCTTATATTACATGTCGCTATATAATTCCAGAAAAAATTCATTACAAAAATCCTGGTGGTCTCGAACCACGGACCTTTTCTTTACAACGCCGGTGCCTCACCTCCAGACCACCAGAACATCTATGCTACCGCTTTCTGCGATCCTCCTCATATTCTACGACTTGGTTTATAGCACAAGAAAAATCGTTATTTATTTATTCCCTTTTCAATTTCTATTAGCAAAAGACACCGTGGTCTCGAAGCCGGTACCTTCCCAATACTACGCCAATGTCTTACCCACGTACCATCAGATCTATACAAATTTGTTACCTTCACCATCCTCATATAGTACGACTTGCTTCCTACACGCACAAATTTCTTAAATTTTTTTCTAAAAAAAAATAGCCATGTATTCGAACCACGTATCTCCTAAAACATACGCCAGTGCCTTAACAAAGGACTGCCACCGTTATGACAACTGT